AACAAAATAAATATATTGAAAAATATAAAAACAATAAAAAATTATACTTCAGATGTTAATTTAGTATCAAAAACGTAAAATATTTGAGTAGCCCAAGACATAGCCAAAGATTGAAGCGCCACAGCACTGGTGAAAATTTAAATTTGCCGACTGGAATTCTTTCGGATGATTGACTTTCGGAAAATCGACGCTCTACTGCATTTATGTTATGTGTACCTATTATTTTGTTTTTTTCTCCTCACCCTTGTAAAGACACAAGTCAAATCAATTAAGATTATTAGTATTATTATTATTATAATTAATAGTTTATTTGTATAATGAAAGTTTACTAGAGATTAGAAGTCTGTTCACCTTCATGAAAAAAGTTGTTGGATCAAAGCCATTAAATTCATCCAGAAATTTAGCCTAATTTTAGCTGAAATGATATATTTCATTTAACAGAAGCATATTAAATAATTGTAAAATTTGTTAATATATATTACCATATTCTTATTTTAATGTAAGTAATTAATTTTAATGCAATGATTAATTTTTACATAATTATTTTGTAACTAGATTGTACTTTGTAAAATTATATTTATTTAGAGATAGATATTGGCTAGTTTTTGGTTGATAATGACTTTTAAAAGTTTTTTACACAAGAAAATGCACCATGATCTTTGTGTTTCTTTAAATAATAAATTAACATTCAATGAGCAATTATTTATTGTGACATTGTCATAATGCCAGGCTGCTCTCCACCTCAAATTAGTAGTGTCTTGCTCCTATACATCATACTTTTCCTTTCAACATGATTGTTAATCCTTTAACAATAAACAAGAGTTGTGTCGGTCATCTAGTAACTGCTTTCAGGGCAAAAGTTTTTAATTGAAATAACATAACTTATGGTTTGCATCAGAAGTTCATATATAGTTAATCAGTATTTCCTGCCCCTACAATTTCCATATCTGGACTTATCTTTTATTTATCTAACTCTGTTCTTGAGATTAAGGAAAGGCAGATGGACAGATGAAATGGGAATTTATAGGTCTACAATTTTTTCAAATTGCAGCCCAAAAATTGTGTAGTTTACATAATTAAAATATTAAATGTAATTTTCACAACATCCATTGTCACAAATAATATGTATTGAAAACTTCTGTATAATAGAAAAAAATTCTGAAAAAATTAAGAGCATCTTTGTAATTTGTCTTCTTCACATAACTCAGGAAAACAAAAATATCAAATTGTGGCATCAGCACTTTTTTAGTGTTTCTTTTATTCCATAGAATGTTTTAATAGTATATTTATTCTAGATTTTTTACCAATGATAATGTTTTTTTACTTTGTTCTATTGCTAGAGAGTTGATTTTAACAAGTTTTACATAGTGAAGTACAGAAGAGCTCCAAATTGAAGGTCAACTTTGTTGTGTTCAGATAAATATAAAAAGTTCAAATTATGAAGACGTCTTAACTTTTTTTAGAGTTTCTTCTATTCTAAAGAACTTTTTAATAATATATTTGTTTTGGACTTTTTACTAATTCTATTGTAAATTCTGTATTCTGATAAAATTTCTTATTTTTCATATAATTAAGCAGTTAGTGACAGTTTTTAAAAATCAAAATTGCATTGCAATTTGTTGTTTCATTTCACTGCTATTAATTTTATTGAATTAAAATAAAGAAATTATAGAAATGTTTTATGTGACAAAGTTTTTAATTTGAAAATTATTTTTTCTATACTTATTACTTTCCCAGCTCTGTTATATATAACAGAAAAAGGATGGTGATTGGTAAAAAACCTAAGATTTTTACATTTTTGGATTTGGGACCTTGAAACACCAAGAAATGCAAAAAAAAATTGTTTTTTTTTTCTGTGTATGGATGCTAGTGAATGTGGAGGGCATAATTTCATTCATCCACTTTGAAGCTTAACTCCTGTGCCTTTTGTTGGAAATTTCTGAAATTTTGCAAGAATATTTGTGTATTAGGAGGATTGATGCTATTAAATTTTGGTGGTTATAGGTTGAGATGGGGAGATAGAGGAGGTTGTGTGTCATATCTTGAGCGGGGGCAGACTTAATGAAGATTATATTCATTATTAGCATTTACAATTTTTTATAAAACTTACCTCTGCCTTCCACATTAAGCTTTTTGCCATTTTATATTATAAAAAGTTTTTAAATAAAATATAACAGATGGTACCTCACCCAATTTTAAATTTTTTGTTGGGAAAGTCATGCAACTTGTTGCTGGATTTTTTAAGATATTGATTATAGTTTAAATTGCATCTTTGCATATACAAATTTTTGAAATGCAGTTTGCTTATTTTAGTTGAATTTTGTTCTATTCAATAGATTGGCTTAAGAAGTCTGTTGTAGAAAGATGGAAATACAAATATTAAAATTATCTTTTGTTTATTTAATATATTTTTTATGTTGCCAGGAATGTGATTTGCAATTTATAGTTTACAATACATTTAAAAAAAAAATCTAAATTAGTAATTCTCAATGTTTTGCAAATTGTGGAGCTGTTTTGGTTTTTTCTCAGTTATTTGAAAAAAAAAAATATATGTACAGTATGTAGATGTATATAAATGCATGTGTATACATACACTGAGTGGCCAAAAAAGTAGACACACCATGTAATAACGAGTTGGTCCATTTTTAGCTCTGATCACAGCTGATATTCTTGGCATGGACTCAACAAGTTTCTGATAATGTTACTGAGGAATGTTGGCCCATGCTGACATCATGGCAGCACTAATTTGGGTCATATAGGATGGTGGCGTTTCCAAGCTTTGAAGTGATCTTTTGACTTTGTCCCATAAATGCTCCATAGGATTGAGGTCAGGGGACTGAGCTGACCATGAAAGCAGGTTAAACTATGATTGATGTTCCTCAAACCAATTTGAGACCAATCGAGCACGGTGACAAGGTGCATTACCCTGCTGAAAGTGACCATTGCCATCAGGGAACATTACAGCCTTAAACGAGTGTACGTGATTGGCAATGATGTTGAGGTAAGCTGTGCTATTCAGAGATGTGTCCACAAATATCAAGAGACCCAGTGTTTGTACTTCAGGAAAACATTCCCCACACCATAATTCCACCACAATTCCACCACCACCAGCCTGAAGAGTTGTCATTTGGCAGGAGGGGTCCATGAATTTGTGCTGTTTGTGCCATATTCTGATCTTACTATCTGCAGGATGAGACAGGAAATGAGATTCATTGGACAAAGCTACTTTTTTCCAGTCCTCAATTGACCAATTTTGTCATTCCTGGCCCACAACAGGCACTTTTTCCTATTTTTCTGTGATACCAAAGGCACTCTTGATGGTATTCTGCTGCTAAATCCCATCCTTTGCAAAGTCCATCTTGTTGTCCATTGGGATATGCTTTTTGATGCACCTACATTGAATTCAGCTGTAATTTGTCATGTTGTTGTCCTTCTGTTGCTGTGGGCTGTGTGTGATAATCGCCTTTTACCTCTGTTGTTTATCAGCCTTTTTTTGACCAGAATTGTCCTTATTGCTTGAAGATTTTTTTTCCTCAACTGTCACTCTCTAAACACCTAAGATACTATTGGTTGAGAAAATCCTAAAAGAGTTGTTGTTTCAAAAATGCTGACACCAGCTTTTCTTGCACTGATGATCACCCCTTGTTCAAAAAATCTTTTGTCTTACCCATTTTGACATTAACTTCTGTGATAAGTCATCGTCCGAAGCTGAGTGTTGCTTGTATAAGCAACTCTGCCTTGTTATGTCACTCTATCACTGTCAAACTGGTTAACTTTCAAATAAGGGGTGTGTCTAATTTTTTTGCCAGTCAGTGTAGTTAGATGTGTTTGTGTTAATGAAAAACATATAAATTAAGAAAACAGTTTAGTATAACAGGTTATTAATCAATATGGAGCACTACACAGATCTGTTTGTTGACCACCAGATGAGAAATACTGGTCTTATGTAAGATTTTATTAGATCTGTTTCTGCTGTGATAAGTAAACATTACAAAACAAAATTAGCTCTTATTTTTAGAACAGGTAACATTTTTGTTCAAAAAATGAACTGTAATAATTTTGTTTAAATCTCACAATTATGGATTGGGTTATAACATTGATTAATCTAGAAATACATTGTAAATTTAGAGAACTAAAAAACATATTTTTAAAAACCTGATGTGAACAGCCTTCTGAATAGGACTAAATAGGTGAGAATATCATTCAAAATATTTTATTGCCACTTTTTGAAATTGGGTTTTGAAAAAAATGTTTAGTTCTTTAAATTTACAACGTGGTTTTAGATTAATCTATATTTTTCTTATTTTATTGATTTATGTAGAAATCATAATTTTTATGTATATATATATTTTTTGAAAATTCAAAACTTATTTTAGGTATGTGGAAGAATTTGATAAAATAGGAAATGATGTATCTAAATCTTTGAAGTATTGTCATAATAAGTCAAATAAAATTGCCTTTGATGAAGGATGGGAACCAGTTATTTCTAAAGAGAATTTGTTTTTATGGAGAAAATCAATGCCAGGAACATATTTATATGAATATAAAGGTAAAAATGTTTTAAAAGTTTCTTAATATTTTTATTGTTAAAATAACTACTGTGTTTATTTTGTTTGTTCATTCTATTAACATTTGTTCATTGTTAATATATATTTTTTTGTTTTATTGTATCAATAATAAATTATTTTACGTATATTTTATATCAAATTCTGTCAGCTTAAATTATTTATTTAGTAGTAATAAATTATATTTATTTTTAATATTATGCAACTTTGTATATGATAAGATAGTGCTTATTTTCCAAAGATCTTTTAAAAGTATTTATTTTTAAAATTTATTAATTGGATTAATACATTTTATTTAATAAATTATTTTAAAAAATTAATGTATTATTAGTAACTCCATTTCATTTTGCATTTAACATATAAGCATTTCCTATTAGAAATATCATTTGAAATCATGTTTTAATAGTAGATAATATCAAGTAATTCATAATGTAAATGATATCTACTAATTTTGTCTGTTAGAATTGATATCAATTATCAAGAAATGATATTAAATATAGAAGTTCATTAATTTGGCATCCTCTTAACAGTAGCTGATAATCCAGAAATTATTCAGAATTATTATTGGACAATAATAATCCTGAAGTAGTCTGTGAATCAAAATTTGTTTGGACACATGTTGTGCTAAAGAACCTAGGCAGAAATACAGCATATGCCTGGAAAATAAATAGTATATTCACATGAATGATTTTGAATGTTGAATTTGTGCATGTTTAAAAAAATCTATGAAAACATTAATAATCAATCATAACACAGTATAGACGTGCATAGACAAATTGGAAGCATACAGCAGCACTAGTACAAAATGTACAGAAATTTTTTTACACTACCATCTGTTGCGTATATACGCAACAGATGGTAATGTAAAATAATAAGTTAAAAAATATGGGGGCACTAGATTTTTTTTTTAATCTCAAAGTGGGCGTTGGTCGAAATAAGTTTGAGAACCTGTGCTCTAGTGTAACTATTACAAATATTAAGAAAATAATTTTGTATTTCGAGGACACTGGATCTGGTCTTGAAATGGTTTGAGGGTATTTTGAACTATGCAAGTTCAAAAGGCCATCAAACCATTTGAAAACCAAAAGTAAAATTAAAACTGTAATAGTAGAAGGGACATGTACCATGTCTTTACCAATGGATGCAATATATGCAAATTACTGAGCAGATTGAAGAACAAATGATGTGAACAAGGTTGCATTGTGCCTGATTCTAATGTGCACTTCAATTTTTGAGACAAGATAAGTCCAAAAGAAACATGCATTAGAATTGAGAAAACATTGTAATTAGTGTTGAAATCTATTGCATCCAAATGAATAGAACAGTGTATGTATTCAACCCACTATAGTAACTGGATCTTTTCTTTTGTGATTATGTTTTGATATCCAAAGTAAAAGTCATTACATGGGAAACACTTTAATACACAAGGAAACATTCCTAATGCATTGAGGTGCAAGATTGTAAGATTTGCCTTCATCTCCTTCATCATAATTGTCAATCATCTGTTGCCAATCTTGAAGAATACTTTAAAGGTTTTTAGGTTTAATGTGTATGTAAAATTCTTTGTTCAACATTACTGCTCATAAGGTGAAAAATAAAGAAATATGCAACAGTATGTTTGAAGTGTGCCTTATTTCTTGCTTCCCTTAAAATTCTTTACATGTAAAGGCTGAATCCCATAGATAGTAAAATTAAGGTGACATTGAATGTCAACAGCTGCTTCCTCCAATTGCTTCTTTTGACATTTGACAATTAAAATGAGTGATTGGTTGGACTTGTCATGAATATTTAATGTTGTTTTAATTTTGCTACCTATGTGTATCTGCCTTAACTGTTCTGTATTGTTTAGTTCTTTAATATGTATATTTTGAAATTTTTTAGCAGAAGCACCCTTAATATAATTAGAGCATGCATATACAAAAAAAAAGTCTTCAAAATTTTTTGTTATCTTGCTATTTGATTTATATCTTCATGTAACATGGACTGAGTTTTCATGTGTAACTGTATTTAAATCAACTATAAAAAGAATCATTCTGAAAATTAAGTCCTGTATTTAATTTCATATCAGTTAATTTTATATATATATATTTTTTAATAATTACATTATAATAATTGTTTATATGTATATACTTAGCACAAATATTGCAATATATGGAGAATTTATTTATAATTTCAATACAATTTTTTGAATCTTTAGGATAAATATTGATTATTTTAGTTTTCTTTTACAATAATGATATTTTAGAAGATTATCTTTATGATTTAAAAAGTAATTTCAATTGCACAAATAAATTTTAAATTATTATCATTTTTGTTATAGTATATGGATCATTTTTTGATATACCACCTCGAGTATTTTTCCATGTTCAGGTAAATATTAATTTATTGTATAAAAGATTTAGTAGTCACAAAATATAAAATATTTGAAAATGAAATATTTTATGTATGTCTGATGATTAAAATTTTATTATTTATGATAGATATAAAAATTAATGATTGCCATTAACTATGTTATTACAATTAAGATATTATAACTTAGTTAGGGTAATTAATTTATGACAGTTTATTTTATTTATAAATTATACAGTAAAGCCATCTCTAGCCTTTATAAAGACTCAAAATGACTAGCCTCCATAAAATAAGAAAAAATACAACAAATTATACAACTAAATAATAATTCATGGCACATACATCTTTTATAGTAGTGTTTAAATTGGATAAATGAGATGTTTAGCAAATGCTCCACATTTCTAACATTTATGTTAGCACAATACAAAAAAGATCTATACATAACATTTAATCAAAAATTGGGAATATGTAAACATGATCAGAGCATATACAGTAGTTCTCGTGGGCACATATATAAATAGGGTGGATTATATTTATTAAAACTTTTACAATGAAGAATTCTATCAAAATACATAATATGAATACTTAATTACTTAAAAATTTTGGTTTTGCATTCAGAAAATTTATAATTACTGTATGTAAATTCAATATACATATATATGTTGTTGATTTTTTATATATATTTTTTTATAGTTTAAAATTCATTTCTGTTATAATGGTTTATGATTTAGTTAATGTTGTTGTTTGTATATAGATTGCATATAACTCTGTTAATACAAGTTCCAAGTGCTATTGTTATTTTGTTTACAAGCTGTTTGTATATGTATCTGTGTTTTAAAAATTTCTGGCCTGTATAACATGTTTAGTATGGCAGGTTCTGTAGTGAATGCATGTATTGTTTACTGTACATTCATTACACTACATAAACTTACTGTACTACTAAAAAGTTTCAGACTTTGTATAGTATATGTGGCATGAATCCTGTGCAAGAAAGAACTACAGGCACAATAAGTACCCTGTCCATTCTCCACAGATGCTTGTTTTACGGGTGAGTTCTGAGTACCTTATAATTTTTACTTTCCCGGCTATTATATATAACAGAGAGAAAGTATGGCTATCAGTCAAAAAATTATTTCCCCAAGATTTTTACATTTTTGGACTCTTGACCTTGAAATGTTGAGAAATGCAAAACAGTTCAGAGGTAATATCAGTATGGATGTATGTGTTGGGCACAATTTTTTCACTCTGTTTGAAGTTTAATAACTCCTATGCTTTTTGTCAAAAATTTTTGAATTTTGCAAGGAGGTTTGTTTATTAGGGGGTTGATGCTATGAAATTTTGGTGGTTAATTAAAGGCCAAGGGGGTAGGGAGATAAAGGGGATCGTGTGTATCTCCAGTAGGATCACACTTAATGATGATTATACTCATTGTTAGCATTTATGATTTTTTATAAAACCCATCCCTACTCTCAAAATTAAACTTTTTATAGTAGTTATTATAAAACGGAAAAAAGTTTTTAATAATAAAATCTAACAGATGGCACCACCAAATGTTGGGAAAGTTAAGCAAGTTGTTGCTGGAATTTTTCAGTGGATGTTTGGAACTAGAGTTCTACCAAATGAGTTGAGCCTACAGCTAAGAATTTTGACAGTCAGCTCAGCTCTCAGCTGGAGTCCAGAACTGCAGCTTTACAGTTCTGCTCTACATTCTGAGTTTTTTGTAATTTGAGGTAGTCTTGGTCCTCAAATTACAAAAATTACCTTGGTACTATGAATTGTCAGGACTACTGTACCTGTTTTGCTGGAAATGATTGTCATTATTTCTATCATTTTAAAATGTTATCCTTTATTACTTTTAATAATTTTCTTAACCTAAAATTGTTTGTTGTTTAATTGCTTAATGCTCAAGTAGTTTTTATTTGAATGCTCTTATGTTTTCATTTATCTGTTATTAAAATATCTGACATACTGTGTATCTGTTATTACTACAGATGCAATTTAATTTCAAAAATGGATTTTGTTGCAACACACCCCACCTCAGCTTGCCTCCAATACTTCAGCTCAGCTTGAAATTGGAAAAGATCAGTTTAGCTTATTTGGAACAGTTATGTGTATATTGTGTGTGACTGCATGTTTCAGCATACTCTGGCACATCCATTGGCTTGAGAGGATTTCAGAACATGAAAAAATTTTTCTGTTAATTCACCATTATCATTAACATTAAGTAACATTAATGCCAAATGTTGTAACAGCAATGTGTAACAATGAGTCATCACAAAATGCAACAAAATAGATTGGACCAAGCCTTTAGTGTATTATCAATAGGAATATTTAAAATTTAGAACATTTTATGGCTACAGGTATTATCTGTGAATGTTGTTTTTTTTAAAATATGTTTCCTATAGTTTTTTGTATTTATGACCTAGTTGCATATGACTATTGTGAGTTCTTCTGTCTTTCCAAAGAGATATCTGCAAGCCAGCTAGCAGTATGATAAAGTTCTGTCAATGTGATCCTGGCTGAGATTGTTAGGATAGAGTCCTTTTGAATTCAGGGCTGCTTTATGATGTTTGTGTCTCTTGAGTTAGATTTATTATTATTGTAATCTTCAATGATTTTATGATAAAGTTTAGTAGTAAAGTATAAATATTTAGAAAATAGATACATTTGTTTGAAATAGTTCTGTAGCAATTAAAAATGTAACAATAAATAATAAATTAAAGTAACTTATTGTTATGGTGGATACATAAATGTAATTTTGTTGATTCTTAATATAACAGATTTTTGAAATAATTCACCAAATCCACTTGCTACATAGCATCTGTGAGAGTATCAGTATTTGAGAATATCAGACCTAGCTGTTAAATGTGCAGATTGTCCTCTAGGCACTGTGTCAGAAGCTATTGTTTATATCCATGCTTGAAAATGTGATATTTGTTTTCTTTATGTTTACTATAATATAGATTATATGAGATAAGATAAGAAATAAACAAAGTATGTTTTATAGTTACTCTTGCCATCATCATATATACTGGACAATCAGCACTATTGGACCATTGCTTCCCTCTATTAGTCCATTATATTAAGGATCAATAGTATTTGAATGAAGCAAGTGCTTGACTTTTTACAAAAAATGAATATAACAGTGTCATCGTAAAGAATTTTTTAAAAATAAACTTTTTGAGAAAATATTAATCATGCAACAAGTAGATTCTTAAAGTAATCAAAATAATCTGCATTTTCTTCTTAAAAAGGAAATGTAATTTATTTGTTGACTGGAAATAAAATTTAAGATAAAAATGAAATATTCCTTCAAATAAAATTAAAAATGCTATTTAAATTGATTTTAAACAAAAAACATTAATAATAATTTTTTTTATGTTATTAGAAAGACACTGAATATCGAAAGAAATGGGATAAACTTGTAATTAAATTAGATATTATTGACAGAGAAGGTGAAGATGGTAATGAAGTGGTTCATTGGGTTATGCATTATCCTGTAAGTATTATATAAAGATGATAAAATAAATCCTAAAATACATTATTTTAAATGGATTTAATAATGGTTTTTCTTTTTTTTTGAAAAGAAAGTTATTTGATTGAATCATTGTCATATTGCACTAATCAACATAAATATAGATATATACATAAGCTTTACAGTAATTTATTCCTCTTTTTTTTAAATGAAATTATTGATTACATACATACATAAATCCATTCCAGAAATCATATATTTGTGATGAAAACATTACAATACAGGTATCCCTTGATTAAAGCGGTTAATTAATCCTTTGATGCATCCACATATATCAAAATTGCATTAATCAAATATGGTATCTTTGTTAAGTAAAAATAGCTGGTAAAGCCACATTAATTAAAACTTCTGCTGCATGTATAAAAGGATTGCTGCAATTAATTTTGTGCGTTAATCAAAAACTGTGTTAAGCTAGGGATACCAGTATCAATGCAATAATGTATACTTTTTGGCTGTTTATTTCAAGATCTTGGTTGGAACATTGAAGGTTAAATGTTCACTACTAAACTAAATTACAGTGCATGCTTAACTAATGGGAACTAATTGTCATGTGATATATGACCATGCTAATTATCAGATTAGCATGGTCATNTTCTTACCAGCATAGAGGTATGAAGGAGTACATGTCGAGAGTTGATATTTGGCACAGAGTATTAGGTGCCCAAATCATTTGCGCATAAAAAAATCCAGACTCATAGCTAGTCGGGGGACCGAGAATTGAGTCAAAATAAAATACAAAATGGCGACCCTTTTCTACAAACAGGTGAAACAGCCACCTCACCCCACTGAAGTCAGGTAGGGGAGAGTACCATACGCAATTGTTTTAAGAAGTGAACTCTGACCTTAGGACCGAACATGTAGTTTCTTCTAGGTTAAATAAAATTTGTAATCTAATTTTGTAAATTTGGGAGTGCTTCAAATATGACATTAAAACGGTTTTATGTCGTTACAAGTGGTTTTTTTAACGTTATCTAGTATAGTAAAATCGTAAGACCGATAAAAATTTGATGTTATATTAGGGCTGTCGTTACATTCGATGACATTATAATCAGGTTAAACTGTATATTGTTTGTGCAAAATAAAAAAAATAATTTCAGATGATACAATAGCCACGATTATTTTTTTCAAAAACGGGAACTTTTCGTTATGCATCAACAAAAATTCATCCCGGGCCAGCATGCAACAGAAAGAAATTTTGAAATTAGATAGATTAATTTCATTGAAGATGCATCGTGGACGATCTTGTGGTCATGGCTGGCAAAGTTTGAACGATTGCACCCAAAAGCAGCAATATCAAAGAAGATAGGAGAATGAGACCTGCCTTGAGCATCAAAGTGATTTCATCTCCGAGACATAGTCTTGTCCCAAATACAGTTTTGCCGTTTTACTTGTTACTTTTAAAAAGAATTAATTTTGTATACATATAATATTAATTTTGCAAAAAAAAAAAACAGTTCTGTTTTTTTTTTTTACATGATATCTGATTTAATCTGGAAAAATTCAATGCTCTTTTCATACAATTTGTTTTGAAAAATTTGTTTTTTAGAAATCCATTTGTTGACGCATGATATGGATGACAAATTAATGGTATTTAAATACTCAAAAGGAAGAAAAACCGATTGAATTATGGAATATGAAAAAACGTCAAAGATACTTGAAACTAAAAAAGTTTATTCACTATACAAGTCACCAGTATTGATCCTCTTCAAACTACAATAAATGAAATGAAACAAATTATACAGAAATTTTACATAAAACTATTTTCAAAACAACATACTGTTTAATGAAGATATCACCAATTAAAATAATTATAATATGATATAATGTTTTGCAACCCAATGTCACATTTTTCAATCTTTATATTTATTTATATAGGGATNTGTGTAACTGTATTTAAATCAACTATAAAAAGAATCATTCTGAAAATTAAGTCCTGTATTTAATTTCATATCAGTTAATTTTATATATATATATTTTTTAATAATTACATTATAATAATTGTTTATATGTATATACTTAGCACAAATATTGCAATATATGGAGAATTTATTTATAATTTCAATACAATTTTTTGAATCTTTAGGATAAATATTGATTATTTTAGTTTTCTTTTACAATAATGATATTTTAGAAGATTATCTTTATGATTTAAAAAGTAATTTCAATTGCACAAATAAATTTTAAATTATTATCATTTTTGTTATAGTATATGGATCATTTTTTGATATACCACCTCGAGTATTTTTCCATGTTCAGGTAAATATTAATTTATTGTATAAAAGATTTAGTAGTCACAAAATATAAAATATTTGAAAATGAAATATTTTATGTATGTCTGATGATTAAAATTTTATTATTTATGATAGATATAAAAATTAATGATTGCCATTAACTATGTTATTACAATTAAGATATTATAACTTAGTTAGGGTAATTAATTTATGACAGTTTATTTTATTTATAAATTATACGGTAAAGCCATCTCTAGCCTTTATAAAGACTCAAAATGACTAGCCTCCATAAAATAAGAAAAAATACAACAAATTATACAACTAAATAATAATTCATGGCACATACATCTTTTATAGTAGTGTTTAAATTGGATAAATGAGATGTTTAGCAAATGCTCCACATTTCTAACATTTATGTTAGCACAATACAAAAAAGATCTATACATAACATTTAATCAAAAATTGGGAATATGTAAACATGATCAGAGCATATACAGTAGTTCTCGTGGGCACATATAAATAGGGTGGATTATATTTATTAAAACTTTTACAATGAAGAATTCTATCAAAATACATAATATGAATACTTAATTACTTAAAAATTTGGTTTTGCATTCAGAAAATTTATAATTACTGTATGTAAATTCAATATACATATATATGTTGTTGATTTTTTATATATATTTTTTTATAGTTTAAAATTCATTTCTGTTATAATGGTTTATGATTTAGTTAATGTTGTTGTTTGTATATAGATTGCATATAACTCTGTTAATACAAGTTCCAAGTGCTATTGTTATTTTGTTTACAAGCTGTTTGTATATGTATCTGTGTTTTAAAAATTTCTGGCCTGTATAACATGTTTAGTATGGCAGGTTCTGTAGTGAATGCATGTATTGTTTACTGTACATTCATTACACTACATAAACTTACTGTACTACTAAAAAGTTTCAGACTTTGTATAGTATATGTGGCATGAATCCTGTGCAAGAAAGAACTACAGGCACAATAAGTACCCTGTCCATTCTCCACAGATGCTTGTTTTACGGGTGAGTTCTGAGTACCTTATAATTTTTACTTTCCCGGCTATTATATATAACAGAGAGAAAGTATGGCTATCAGTCAAAAAATTATTTCCCCAAGATTTTTACATTTTTGGACTCTTGACCTTGAAATGTTGAGAAATGCAAAACAGTTCAGAGGTAATATCAGTATGGATGTATGTGTTGGGCACAATTTTTTCACTCTGTTTGAAGTTTAATAACTCCTATGCTTTTTGTCAAAAATTTTTGAATTTTGCAAGGAGGTTTGTTTATTAGGGGGTTGATGCTATGAAATTTTGGTGGTTAATTAAAGGCCAAGGGGGTAGGGAGATAAAGGGGATCGTGTGTATCTCCAGTAGGATCACACTTAATGATGATTATACTCATTGTTAGCATTTATGATTTTTTATAAAACCCATCCCTACTCTCAAAATTAAACTTTTTATAGTAGTTATTATAAAACGGAAAAAAGTTTTTAATAATAAAATCTAACAGATGGCACCACCAAATGTTGGGAAAGTTAAGCAAGTTGTTGCTGGAATTTTTCAGTGGATGTTTGGAACTAGAGTTCTACTAAATGAGTTGAGCCTACAGCTAAGAATTTTGACAGTCAGCTCAGCTCTCAGCTGGAGTCCAGAACTGCAGCTTTACAGTTCTGCTCTACATTCTGAGTTTTTTGTAATTTGAGGTAGTCTTGGTCCTCAAATTACAAAAATTACCTTGGTACTATGAATTGTCAGGACTACTGTACCTGTTTTGCTGGAAATGATTGTCATTATTTCTATCATTTTAAAATGTTATCCTTTATTACTTTTAATAATTTTCTTAACCTAAAATTGTTTGTTGTTTAATTGCTTAATGCTCAAGTAGTTTTTATTTGAATGCTCTTATGTTTTCATTTATCTGTTATTAAAATATCTGACATACTGTGTATCTGTTATTACTACAGATGCAATTTAATTTCAAAAATGGATTTTGTTGCAACACACCCCACCTCAGCTTGCCTCCAATACTTCAGCTCAGCTTGAAATTGGAAAAGATCAGTTTAGCTTATTTGGAACAGTTATGTGTATATTGTGTGTGACTGCATGTTTCAGCATACTCTGGCACATCCATTGGCTTGAGAGGATTTCAGAACATGAAAAAATTTTTCTGTTAATTCACCATTATCATTAACATTAAGTAACATTAATGCCAAATGTTGTAACAGCAATGTGTAACAATGAGTCATCACAAAATGCAACAAAATAGATTGGACCAAGCCTTTAGTGTACTATCAATAGGAATATTTAAAATTTAGAACATTTTATGGCTACAGGTATTATCTGTGAATGTTGTTTTTTTTAAAATATGTTTCCTATAGTTTTTTGTATTTATGACCTAGTTGCATATGACTATTGTGAGTTCTTCTGTCTTTCCAAAGAGATATCTGCAAGCCAGCTAGCAGTATGATAAAGTTCTGTCAATGTGATCCTGGCTGAGATTGTTAGGATAGAGTCCTTTTGAATTCAGGGCTGCTTTATGATGTTTGTGTCTCTTGAGTTAGATTTATTATTATTGTAATCTTCAATGATTTTATGATAAAGTTTAGTAGTAAAGTATAAATATTTAGAAAATAGATACATTTGTTTGAAATAGTTCTGTAGCAATTAAAAATGTAACAATAAATAATAAATTAAAGTAACTTATTGTTATGGTGGATACATAAATGTAATTTTGTTGATTCTTAATATAACAGATTTTTGAAATAATTCACCAAATCCACTTGCTACATAGCATCTGTGAGAGTATCAGTATTTGAGAATATCAGACCTAGCTGTTAAATGTGCAGATTGTCCTCTAGGCACTGTGTCAGAAGCTATTGTTTATATCCATGCTTGAAAATGTGATATTTGTTTTCTTTATGTTTACTATAATATAGATTATATGAGATAAGATAAGAAATAAACAAAGTATGTTTTATAGTTACTCTTGCCATCATCATATATACTGGACAATCAGCACTATTGGACCATTGCTTCCCTCTATTAGTCCATTATATTAAGGATCAATAGTATTTGAATGAAGCAAGTGCTTGACTTTTTACAAAAAATGAATATAACAGTGTCATCGTAAAGAATTTTTTAAAAATAAACTTTTTGAGAAAATATTAATCATGCAACAAGTAGATTCTTAAAGTAATCAAAATAATCTGCATTTTCTTCTTAAAAAGGAAATGTAATTTATTTGTTGACTGGAAATAAAATTTAAGATAAAAATGAAATATTCCTTCAAATAAAATTAAAAATGCTATTTAAATTGATTTTAAACAAAAAACATTAATAATAATTTTTTTTATGTTATTAGAAAGACACTGAATATCGAAAGAAATGGGATAAACTTGTAATTAAATTAGATATTATTGACAGAGAAGGTGAAGATGGTAATGAAGTGGTTCATTGGGTTATGCATTATCCTGTAAGTATTATATAAAGATGATAAAATAAATCCTAAAATACATTATTTTAAATGGATTTAATAATGGTTTTTCTTTTTTTTTGAAAAGAAAGTTATTTGATTGAATCATTGTCATATTGCACTAATCAACATAAATATAGATATATACATAAGCTTTACAGTAATTTATTCCTCTTTTTTTTAAATGAAATTATTGATTACATACATACATAAATCCATTCCAGAAATCATATATTTGTGATGAAAACATTACAATACAGGTATCCCTTGATTAAAGCGGTTAATTAATCCTTTGATGCATCCACATATATCAAAATTGCATTAATCAAATATGGTATCTTTGTTAAGTAAAAATAGCTGGTAAAGCCACATTAATTAAAACTTCTGCTGCATGTATAAAAGGATTGCTGCAATTAATTTTGTGCGTTAATCAAAAACTGTGTTAAGCTAGGGATACCAGTATCAATGCAATAATGTATACTTTTTGGCTGTTTATTTCAAGATCTTGGTTGGAACATTGAAGGTTAAATGTTCACTACTAAACTAAATTACAGTGCATGCTTAACTAATGGGAACTAATTGTCATGTGATATATGACCATGCTAATTATCAGATTAGCATGGTCATATATCATGAAAAGCAAGTAAAAAGTAAAAAAATTTTAAATTACTATCACATCTTCCTTATATCTTTCAGTAATACTTTATTAGAAACAACTAATCCTAAGTTGCTCTAACCAAATAAACCAAACTAATTCTAATGAGTGATTTTTTATTGTGACATTGTCATAATGTTCTCAATTCCTTTAGTGGTATCTTGCTCCTAAACTTCATAGTTTTCTTGTTAGCAATAGAGTCATGCCAGTTATCTAACTAACTCTGTCCAGGAAAAAATTTTTAATTGATGTAACATGACTTTCAGTTGAAACCAGAAGTTCTTATATAGTTAATCTGGGCCTCCTGCTCCTAATCATATCTGGTCTTGACTTTTGTCTATCTAACACCTTTCCTGAGATTAAGGAAAAACAGAGACACACACACATAGACAAGGGAAATCAGTTGGAATTTATAGGTCTATAATTTTTTCAAATTACAGCCTGATAATTTTTCTATAAACACAATATTTATGAGAACATACTTCCCACATAGTTTGTACAGTTTGTTGCAAAAATGTAAACACTATCATCACATAAAGATAAAAAAATGCTTGTAAAAATGCAATAACAATTATTTTTTATTTAAACAAATTGTATGAAGTCTTTTGAACATTAAGGTTCACAACTTCCATCACAACTTATCCAACACGGATCACTTTTCAATTATTAATAGTAGAATAGTATAAATTAATAGTTGTTGACCATTCTCTCTTCCGGGAGGAGGTCAACTACTTTTGGTTGAATTACTTTGTCGTCCTTCTGCAACAGTCTTTTTTCTATTGGACAAGCAGTATGGTGGCATTTGAATAGGAAAATTGAATAATACAAAGTTACCAGTGAGCATAAAATATGTTTTAAGTGGTTTTCAAGGGTGCTGAGTTTAAATATATGATTATTTCTTACTTCTAATCGTTCTTTATATTTAATCTAATAATCTTTACCTTTGTTGTTTTTTTTTGCCTGGCTCATCCGCAAGTTGATTAATAAAAATTTACTAGTTTTTCATTTTTGGCAGGTATATATTTGGTAAAACCAATAATAAGTAAGTATAAAATAAAAAGAAAAATTTGTTACAAAAAATAAAACAAAAGTTAGTTTTCAGAAATTCTTCTTCTGGCAACTTCTTAACATAAGGATAAAAGTAAAAATTGTTTCTATAATAAAAGTTTTATGATATTTCATTTATTTGAAAAAGTGCAGCATGTACTGTACAGAGGCATTAGACTGGAAAAATGGACAAACAAAGGCTTTTGGGATACTAAGGTACAATGTTTTTTTTACAAAATTGTAACATTGCCTTTAAAAAATATATATAATATAACACTGGTGGATACTTGGTCATTTCAGTTAATGTCACAACCAATAACAAATGACACTTTCCCTTCCATCTCTGCCACGACTTACAACAACAACAACAACAATAGATGGAGATTCACTAAGTTTAACATATTAAAAGTTGACCCATTGAAACATTGTAAATTCCCATCCACACATTTCTGTAACTTTTCAACATTTATTAACTTAGTTACAATATATTTGTATAAGAAGATAGTTGTCTGAAGAAATAAAAAGCAAAAAAGAGCCAATAATAAATCTTCATTCAGACAAATGTCAAAAGCAGTCTGAAATAAACTGATGAGGAAGCAAATGAATTTGCAATTATGTAATGTCTCCAATAATTAAATAGGATCACAAATGGGATTCTTTTACTATAGAAATCAATAAACTATGATTTCATCAGATACTTCATTTAAAATTGAGGGTATCAGGGCAAGATAACTTATTTTCTCAAAATAGTGGAAATGAGGCTTGACACTAAGACTTGAAAGTTTGATCAAACCTCCAAATTACATTTGGTAACTGAACATCTATTTACAACTTGTTTTCTTATTATTTTAGTTTTCCTGTATGCATTATTTTTGAAGAATTGTGGTGCACATACTTTGTATTTAAATCTTTCAGAGATATTTTGTGGCTTGGTACTACCTTAATTCTAAAGAATAACAATAATTGCATTTTTTTCAGTATTTATTCATAAATTTCATTTGAAAACATTACAAATGAAATTATGGGCATCACCTATTACAATATACAATATATAAAGTGATTTGAATATCAACTTATAACTTTATCTCAGTCCACAGATATCAATATCTGTGGACTGAGATTCTTATTGCTTTTTGAACGATAACAAAAGTAAAAAAAAGTGGAATATAGAAGAAATTAGCTAAATATAACTTAAACCAAATATAATCTCCATAAGGATTTTTCTAAATGTGGGGAAACTGTGTCAAGCCACATTTGTTTAAATACTTAATATTAACCTAATCACAGAAACTCATTTCTATGCAAAACAATCACAATTACTTCAATTAAAATAGAAAATTAATTTTCTATTTGTGAAAAAAGAAGAGACTGCCTGCTGATGAAACATGAAAGCCATATTTAAGGATAAAAATAATGCCAAGCAACATTAACTCCAGTTTCACTCTTTGTGGTTAAAACATCAGTACCTGGCAGTTGATAACCAGAATCAATGACTTCATATATTGAACAATTGCCCAATTCATTATTCAACTGAATCTGTGGTCTGTCTCTAATGACTGATGCTAGACACTGTCTTGCTGCCAGAATCTTCCAAAATTGTTTGGGGCAATATGAAACTCTATGGCAGGGGTGTCCAACCTTTTAGTTTCTTTGGGCCGCATTGGAAGAAGTCAAGGAGTTTTGGGCCACAAGTGTATATAATATATGCTTGTGGCCCAATATACAAGTATACTAAAGGATTAACTCATCTAGATTATAAAAATAAGTATTAAATCTTTATCACGAGAAAGGATATTTTAAAAAATTACTTCTACAGACACTTTCAATTTTACTCAGAAACAGACAAATTCATTTATTATAAAAAAGACAAACGAAAATTTATTTGAAAAACACAAATATTTCTTTTATTTGGGTCTCTAATTAGTTCAGTTCAGTTCAGTTATTTTATTAAAGCACATATGCGTGCATAACCAGCACCGCTAGGCATAGCTGGAGATAGGGTACACAGATACAAGTTACAGGAGAGCAATATATGTATATAATTATACACTTACAAAATAAAATAAAAGATAACATGGTAGCAGAGTATAACATTAATACGTAGGACCTACAATAATGTACAGTAAATACATGCATATTGTGTTGATAACGCTGTAAGTGAATATACAACGAAAGACAAGCACAGATTAAATATACAATACATAATACGAGGTAGATATTTTACAAAACAAATTACAGGTGATCAATATGTGTATATAATTAAGAACACATGCAGAATAAAGTAAAGATGAAAGTAGTAGCAGAGTAGAAGGATAAAACAGTAAGTTTTAAAATATATACGCGCATATAATTAAGTTAACATAATATGTGGATAAACATTGGGAAAACAAAGAAAAGGTTAGATGTAGAGTACATTATAAAAGGAATTATACAGTATTTAAATGTTGATATACAGCAGCGGAGACGATGCAGACAGCTAGTTGAGAGTTGATGTGCCAGTGGGTACATTAGTCTTGATGTTATACTGGTCGATTAGGGTTATAAATTGGTTGTAAGTGTCCTTGTTGTTGATCAAGTCGTTAAGGAACTCATGATTATTTTGTGGCCAATGGCCAGGCCGACTGCTGATGAGTAATTGTAGTTGTGTCCTCTCAAAGTCCAGCATTGCACAGTGAAGAATGTAGTGGAGGCTGCCGTCCTGAGTGTTGCATGTTGTGCAAAGGCCACTGTTGCGTGGATCCACAAATCGGCTGATGTAGGAGTGAAAGCGGCCGTGGTTAGTCAGAAACTGGGTGAGCTTGAAGTTAGGGGTGATCCATTTATAGTTGAAGATTGCAGAGATGTCCGGGAAGAACTGGTAAGTGATGTTTTGGTTGTTGTCCCAATTATTTTGCCAGGTGATGAGTAGATCGTTCCAAAGGAGCTTTTTGATAGCGGTCAGGCTGAGCTTATTGTAGATAATAGGGAGAGTTTGATCTGTGGCAGCAGATTTAGCCAGGGCGTCAGCACGTTCATTACCGATGATGCCCTGGTGGGCATGGACCCAGTTGATGCTGAAGGAGTTGCTACAGTTTTTGACAGCTTCGTGGATGACATATGCAATAGGGTGAAGGTTTCTGTGACTTATGAGGGAGATGGCGGAGTTGCTGTCAGAGTGTAGTGCAATGTTGGTGTTGTGGAAGTTCACGGAGCACCAATCGATGGCTGTCTTGATGGCAAGCAGCTCAGATTGGAAAACAGAGCAGCTGCCGTGTAACCGGTTCCTTTGGTTAAAGATCTCCGTTCCATTCTGGAAAACAACAAAGCTGCAGCCCACCTGGTTGTCGATTTTTGATCCGTCAGTGTAGATGTCAATGGAAGGAGGAGAGTGAAAGTTATGGATGAAATTGGGAGGTTCATTAGGATAAGGTGAGTTGCTGTAGTTGATCGGGCATTCGAGCATGTCTGCCTGAATAGTAGTAGAGCTGGTGGTGATGTTATTGCCCCATTTGATGTTCCAGACTTCGCTGTAAAGTTTTATTATCTGGTCTATTGGTGGCTTTTTACAAATCACTTGTAGGCTGGAGTTGGGAGCAGTACGGTAAGCTTTAGCGATGCGTAGTAATGCTGTCCTCTGGGCAGAGATCAGCTTCCGACGTGGATGGGATTTCACGGCGGCATTGCCCCAAGTGCCACAGCCATAGGTCACGATGGGAACAAAGATAGTGTCATATATTACACTCATGGCTTCGGAGTTAAGGCCCCAGTTGTTTTTGGCCACTCTAGCAAAGGAGTGGAAGATGAGGCCAACACGGTCGCAGATGTATTTTATATGCTGCTCCCAAGAAAGGTGGAAGTCAAGAACAACGCCCAGGTACTTCAAAGTCTTCTGTATTTTAATGGAATGTCCATTCATTTTAATGGTAGGAACTCTTTTATATAAGTTGGGTTTACGAGGACTGTTGAAAACGATTCCCCTGGTCTTCTGGGGGTTGAAATGCAGTTTGTGGAGGATACCCCAGCGATGTATGTTCTGGAGAATGTTACTGGCTTTATTTTCCAGG